CTATAAAATTTACATTTCTGTAACCAGCAGCTCATATCCAAGATTTATATATTTAAGAGCATCGCATAGGATACAAGGAAAAAAGGATGACGTCATCAAAATCTGGGCCCTGGTTATCACTATGAAACTGAAAGTTAAATATTGATTTTGCCTGACTGCCATGTTATTGTTTTATGCTGTGCAGACGTAGTATTTAAGAAAAGTTGCTTATCTTTAGACAGTTTTTCACCACACCAAACTTCAGGATCCATCACGAAGTGCTACTGGTTTCTTCTGCATCTCAGATATGTTGAAATTATTCATAGTAGAAAATCAGAAAGTGTAAAGGTGGGGTGCTTTATAGTGGCATGATGGTTATACAAGTTTCATGAAAATCTGTCAGTTGATTCAGCAGTTATTGGGTTGGCTAGACACATGGATTGGTGACCATGTTGATATCTTAAGTTGGCCTTCGCTTATAAAATACAGAAAAAAGTAACTAGTAAAAAAAATGATAACTTTTGAGACTCTAGAAGTGCACACCTTATGAGAGTTCTTGTAAAATAGGAGAATAAAATGTAATGTAGTTGTTTACTTGTAACCCACAATATTTCAAGTTGAAGTCAGAGTTATGTTATGACCAACAGTCAGCCAGCCAGCCAGTCTGTCTTGGTATCATTCACCCATTTGGGACTTAAGAGCAGATTTTTCTTTTTCTGTCTGAAAGTTGCAGGTTTGTTGATGTGAGGCATCCTCTCTGACAAGAGAATGGATCTGTCTTTTACAGTGTACAGTATATTTACATGGAGAATTGCCAAAGTGATTATGATCCCTAAACCAGGAAAACCACTAAATGAAGTCACTTTGCATAGACCGATATCACTGCTGCTGGTGGTCTCAAACTATTTGAAAAATTACTAGTGAAAAGGCTAAAAATAATGATTGANAATAATTGAAAGAAAAGGCATTATACCAACCCACCAGTTTGGATTCAGAGAAAAGCATTGCACCATTGAACAAGTGCACAGACTAACAGATGTCATAGAAAACACATTAGAAGGAAAGAAAGTATGCGCAACAATTTTCCTTGACGTAAAACAAGCCTTCAATGAAGTCTGGCATAAAGGACTGATGACTAAGCTACACAAGCTGCTCCCAAAGCAATATTGTCAAACATTAGAGTCCTACATTTCAGGCAGGCTATTCAGAATAATAAAACTGAATTTCTTTAAATATAGTGATATATGAAAATTTGTTGTTAAAAAAGATCTGATATCAAAAGGCACAAGTCGTATACTTAGTATATGGTGGAGAAATGGCAGAAGTTGTGATTATGATGAAAAAAATGGTCTAGTAAGAAAAATTATCATTCTAGAAATTTCTCCATGGTCATGCTTTCATCATATGTTGAAAAATAAATTAGTCTTGCACATGACTGCTTTGTGTCAAAGAGTGATTGGATTCATCTGTTAAATTCTCACGTATCTTATATGAATTTGTTTTCTCAGATTTATCTCCGTGTTGATCTCACTTATAATGGCTGATCGGACATACATGAAGATGGCAAAGAACCTGATAGTGCCAGAATTTCCTGGGCCAGTACTGAAGCGATTTGAAACTATGATTGAATCACAAATGATGAACTATAGAAGGTATACAATTCAATGACATTGGTTCCTGTATATTCTCGGTAGGTGTGAGTTCAAAACATTGTACTGTGACTCTCTGCTAGACTTCCCAGTCAGTAATATGGGAACACAGTTATTTAATTTTCATTAAATTTTAAAAGTTTATGACAATGGTATGTTCATATGATAATTGACTTTTTCTGCACTACCTGTCCTTCTGTTTTTTGTTTAAAACAAATGCCTCATTTAAGTATTAGTTTTATTTTCTGTTAGATCCTGTTTGGCATTTAAAAATTCTTATCTGCTTGAATTTTAATCCTCGGTGTTTTTTTATCTATATGTATATTTATCTTTGTCTTATTTGTGATTTTAATGGTCGATAGACTATGTCCTATCATTGATTTATAATAATTTACAAATATTATATTGTAGCATCTTACTATGTGAGAAATATTCCATTATTGTTGCATCGCTGCATTGTGGTGACAGAACAATAATAGTTTAATAATTTATTTTAGAATGTGACTCTTTAGTGTTGGCTTCTAATTTCATAATACTCTGATTTTACGGACTCTGGCTGTTACATTATGAGTGGCCATAGGTGCAAGGCCTCAGATATGTGGAGTTCTGTAATGTTTGTCACAACTCTGTCTTGTTGTGTTGTTTTCGGTTTATGTATTGTGCCTTGTGTTGTTTCTGCTGTGTGAAGATAGGAATAGCTCTGTTGATTGGGCCCAACTAAATGGGCTTTTACCTGAGGCTGGAGACAGAGTCCTGCCTCTAAAACATTTTAATTAAAAGAACGAGATAGGCGATGTGCAGAAAGTCAATAATTGTAGCAGTGAACTTTATCTGTCACAGTACAAATGAACGTAACACAAGGGATTGGAATTTGAGGACTGCTTGTTCATACCGACAGATGTCCTTTGCCATAATGTGAAGTTTTTCTCATATTGTAACTTCATGATGATTAAACATTTCCATTTATAAATTTCTCCTGGGTAACCAACCATATCAGTCTGCAGCAATTGTTACCCTTGACACTGCTTTCCATCCGAGGCTGATAGCTGTCCTTGAAGGTGGGACCTTAGTGATGTATATGCATGAATAATTAATAAATGAATAATTCTAGAGTGTTGCGTGCTGGGATGGTTAATAGTTATCAGCATTTCAGAGGGATGTACTGCCTCCATCTTCAGGGTGGAAGAGTAAACCAAGTGAACAGCAAAATTCATTCATGAGGGTGGAAGGAGTACATCTCCCTGAAACAATGGGAAACATCTACCATACTGCTTAGTAACATCTCAGAAGATAGTACTTTTCATAATTAATTCTGTGAGATCACTAATAGCATTGTCTCCTGCCATCTGTAAACAATAACAGTTTAACAGTTTATGGCTCAAAAACAAAATTAATTTATGAATATTACTGCCTTTTAGTCATTGTTGCTAAATTTTTGGAGGAGCTGTTGCATCTACCCTCAGCCTGGAAAACTGATCCAGTCATGAAAAGAGTACTATGGATACAGGGAGAAGGAGGATTGGAACCCGGGCCATGAGTGAACCAATGGGAGAAAAGGGAACAGTGTAAAGAATATTGGCTCTTTAAAGGGCTGTTTACAACTGGCAGAATGCTGCTGTTGGTTTGTTCAGGGCTGCCTGTCCCACTCCTCCCCCTGCTTTTCTTACTCTTCCTCGAAAGTACTGGTAACTATCTACCCAACTACATAATGTCACATACCAGAGGATAATCTTCACAGCCACATGAAATCTCACAATAGAGATATATTAACAGAAGACAGATTTGCCAATAGGAGGCTTAAGATAATATTTTTTTTTCTCTCATACCCATTATAGTTACTGTTAATGGTAATATTAGTGTGGAACAGGAGAGTCTGAAAGAACATGCTTTCAGGTACAGCCTCGTAAGTCCCTGCCCACTTGTTCGACTCTGGCTGCTGAGCCTGAGTCAGGTGCCAGACTGGACCAAAGAACCATCTGTTACTTATCTTATGGATGTAGTGTTGCGCAGCGCATTCTTTCATGCAGATGCTACGGAGATGGCGTTCTGTATCCTGAAGCAGTTGCACCAGGTAACAGAGTCTAGAATTTCAAAGCATTCTTTCTAGAATGATTCACTTATTCAGATCAGTAACTAGAGAATTGCTTGTTGAATTGAACAATATAGTGAACATATTAATACAGCAATCATATTTGTTGTTGGCTGATTCCAGAGAAGACCATTTGTTATGGGAACTTAGAATGGAATTATTTAGAAGAAATAATACACTTTACATATTTGTTATAGTAGAAGGCAGAGTGTGATTGGTACATATTTGGGCTTTGGCATTATTGCTCTTCAAACACAACATATGGGCAATGCGTCACTAATTACTGAAGTGTCAGGAAATAGTACATCTGTAATAGATTTTACACATTGCATTAATGAAGCAATTTTACAAAGTAAGATAAAGTTTTCCCTGTGCTTAACTAATTAAGCACTATGCCATGAAGTTGTATGGGGGAGTGATTGTATAGATCCACATTTTCTTTACCTCAGCACTAGATGGAGATGAGTGGTCAGCTTCACGCAATGGTATTGAAGGCAAATTATGGTCCAGCACCATATTAGTAAAGAAATGTATGCAGTATCTGTAACATTTCCATTATTTTGTCCAACCCCCCTATGTAACACACATGATCATATTATCTTTTTGCTGAATACACCCAAAATTAATGGGAGACATGAATGGAGTTTACACAAATTGAGCCCATTTTAATCAGTGGTAAAATGAAAATGCTAATACAGGAATCCTATTTGCTGTAGGCTGTGATTGCAGAGAAAGCCATTCCATATTAGAAACGTACTACATATGTTAACATTTCATTTAGTGTGTTAATGTTTGATATTTTTTTGTTATGGTAATCCAGAATTGCTTAATTTCAGCATTTTCACTCAGTATTACAAAACTTTCTTATAGATATAGAGAGAGAGATACTGAATGAACATGGAACAAATTACGATTAAGATATGCTGTAATGATAATGATAATATTTTTAATTATATTGGATATAGTATGTTCTATGAAGGAGAAAAGGATTTTAATGTAACAATTTCAAATTTTGTCATAATGCTTATAATTATAAATTAAATCATCATACCATTGTTAGTTTCTAGGCATAGCTATCCCTGTAACAAGCTGTGAAAGCCCATAGGGTTGTGAGACATCAAGGCTCCCACATTTTCTCCAGATAGTCGGCTCACAGATGGCGTTAAGGTTGTCAGCCTTGTGCACTGGCTGCCCTTTACCCCCCAGGAAGATGCCTAGTACTCATTTCTGTTAGAAGCTGAGTCAACCCCAGGACCATACAGCTGGAAGGATTAGGTCAATTGAAAAAATTGACCTCATCAGGACAAAAAACCCATGACCTTCCAGCTTGCAGCATAATTTGTAGGCATAGAAACAAAAAAAAAACTCAATGCTTTTAGTCAAGAAGCGAACTACACTGACATAGACATAGAGGAATACAAATTTATAACACTCTTTCTAGATGAACATTATCTCATGGTACTGAATCATGAACAACAAGAAGGACTGATGATAGAAGATGGATATCAGCAGAAGTGTGTGTCAAGAGAAGAACTGCACTGTATACCTGTTCAGACAGTAAAAGAAATTGTGATAAACTACAAGTTCCATAAATAACCAAATTTATTTAACAGTACAAAAGAAACTGTAAATGATGGACTTGATAGGTCCAATTCTGGAAAGGATGGTGGTGGCGGCGGCGGCGGTGGTGGTGTTGTAGATGTTAGCATCCATCCTTCATACTGTGAGACGATGACTGACGAAGACAGCCATTGCTCAGTAATGACTCGATGAACATGTATGCAAGGCAACAAATGTCACACCACAGCTCAAGCAGTTAGTCGCTGGCTTCCCACCGTATCAGCCCGGGTCTGGTCAAGTGGGATTTGTGGTGGACAAAGTGGCGCTGGGGCAGGTTTTCTCCAAGTACTTCGGTTTTCCCTGCCAGTCTTCATTCCACCAATTGCTCCACAATCATCCTCACCTATCATCTGGTGCTGGTACAACAGGCAAGAAGTGGCCGCAGTACAAGGGACTTAGTCCCACCCCACTAACAATAAAAAAATAAAGGCAACAAATACACACACAGCAAGAGAAAGATTTTTGGAAGCTTTGTTATATGTGCTGTCCATGCAAGATTTTATAATGAGGCCACCAGCTGAGTTAGTCAAGCCTATGTGGAGGCTGGTTTGAATACTCCACCCCGTGAGTCATAGGAGGTGATGAAAAGGGAACACAGTGCCTGGGGGTATGGGCCACCCTGGGGGTTATAAATAAGGTGGCCTGGCTCTCCAGGTTGGGGGAGTCTGAAATCTGAGCCAGTAAGGGCCTGTGAATGACTGCACTGGCAAAGACCAATAGCAAGTGTAAATGACAGACACGTCCTGTCATCAGAGAGGGTGCCCCACATCAACAAGCCCATAGCTGTCTGACAGTAACAAAAATGTAATCTTAGGCCCTAGATGGGGCCTGACACCAAGGAAGACTGGCTGACTGACCATCGGTTGTGACATAATATTTTGACTTTGTCTTTGACTTTAAAGTTACAAGCCTTCAGTAAATCCAGTTACTAATCAGGAGCCCTTGTCTAATCACTGACATGTGACAATATTTGTAAGGCTGTTCATCTACATCAGAACAGGGAGGCTGGCTGTTCTGACTTATGTCTTCTAATATTCAACAGGTTTCCACACATGCTGGTTATGATGCATTTAATTTGTCAGCCATGCATTCTGCAGCACACCAGCACACAGCTGGAGAGAGCATCATTAAGTCTGTCAGTGATTTATAATGTGGCATAGCACAACTGAGGGAATAGACATATCTGTATGGTAGGAATCACAGGAGAGAAAAATAGTATTCCTAATTTATTATAAAGTGTTGCTGGTGATTCAGAACAGTTGTGGAATAGTTGTAGAAATAGGAAGTTAACAATTACACTGAACAACGAGGCAAATGGTCCCCAGAAATATTGAAATAGCCTTGGTGAAGTATTTCAGCATTATATATGTAACAACAGACTAAGGGTGTTCTAGAACAGGTTGCTGAGGAGAACATTTGAATTGAAGAGAGATGAAGTGCTGGAAGCTTGGAGAAAATTGCGTAATGAAGAGCTTCATAACTTCTACTCTTTTGCCAGATATAATTAGAATGATTTAGTCAAGGAGGATGAAAGAGGCAGGGCAAGTAGCACACATGGGGGAGAAGAGGAATGCATGTAGAATTTTGGTGGGAAAGCCTAAATGAAAGAGACCACTAGAAGACCTAGATGTAGGTGGGAGGGTGATATTAAAATGGATCTTTGAGAGGTAAGATGTGGTGGTATGGACTGAATTGATCTGGCTCAGGATAGGAACCAGTGAATGTCTCTTCTGAACATGGTAATAAAACTTCAGGTTCATAAAATGTTGGGAAGTTCTTGAGTGGCTGAGGGACTGGCGGATTCTCAAGAAGGACTCAGCTCCATAGAGTTAGTCATTTATAACACCACACTTTGAATTCTGTGAAACCAGTTATGCTGGATATTCCAGAAAATTCTGCTGCTGCTGTGTACATTCCCAGTACAAGAGACTGCGATGTAAACATGCTTCCTGATTATGTTTAGCATGTTAAGTGGATTCAGCTTATTAGTCTCTTCTGCTGCCTGAAGAGTTTTATAGAATTAGTCTTTCCACGTTCTCATTGGTCCGTCTTTTTCTAGTTTTGCCCCCAGAGCTTTCTTTAGCATTTTTTTGTAAATTAATATGTATGTATTTAGCATAGTTGGTTGAGGCACTATGCTACAAGCCAGAAGGTCGCAGGTTCAAGTCCCATTGAGGTCATTGGATTTTTTCAATTGACCTAATCCTTCCAGCCACACTATGGCCCTGGGATCGACGTAGCCTCTAACAGAAATGAATACCAGGAATATTCTTGGAATATTCTTTGGGGGTAAAGGGTGGCTGGCATGTAGGGCTGACAACCTTGTGGGCCTCCACAGCCCGTTACAAGAATACCTTTACTTTTACTTTTCTGTTTGCTTTGCATGGTTGCTCCATCTCTTTTGAATTTATTTTTCAGTTACGGAAAATAGCTTTAATTGCTCTCCCTCTTATTTCACGATTCTGAATTTGTTTGGATCTTCTGTGCCTTGCAGTAGGTTTCAGAAATCTCATTTGTGCTGTTTTTATTTTTGTTTTCTTCTGGTTTATCAGTAGAAGTTCAGCATTCTGCTCCATGTAGGAGCATGGGCACAGTCTTTATGTTGAGCAGTTTTAAAATGGTCTTTATTTTGGTTTTCTCAGTAGCATTCTTTTGACAGTGTCTCACAAATATTGAAACCTTGTGAGAGTTTCATGTCCAGTTCATTTGAATATCAAAATTCGAAATTGTAGCCAAGGTGGGTTAATAATATGTGTAATGTGAAATGTATTTGTTTCATGACAAAGAAGTTTTTATTTTTCTGTCATAGAAGTTGTTGAAACTAGATGGGTTAGTTATTTCTTGGTTTTATTAGTGAAAATTTTGTTGTAAAAGTGTTCTGTAGCAGAGTGTAACATCGATATCTTTCTAATGCAGCGAGCATTGGAGGCATTGACTAAAGAGGTTGGTAGCCATAATGTATTCCTAAAAACTAATATTGCATGCTGCATGTCATAGAAGTCCGACATGTGTAATTCTGTGGAACAGAGTTAAATCAAGTGTGTGAAAGTCATAATTGTTATTTTAATATAATTTTGCAGTTTAATTAGAAACATATCACATGGACTTTTAAAATATATTTTATCTTGCATGTGGATATTCAGGACTGACGTGTTGGGTGCAGGATATTTAGTTTTTATTGTCAGTTGGCAGCTACATGTATAGTGGGGTAAACCCTGCACATTGTTGGTAAGATACACAGAAATGATGGTAAGATTACAAATGAAGGGAGTGGGAAAGGAGTGCGAAAGAAGGGAAGGAGATAAAGATAGGAAATGGGTAAAAAAATGGAAAAAAGAAAATATTTTCTCATGTACTTGTAGTGTTGTACTATGAAGAACGTTTTAAGTGTCGTCATGAAAATGGTGTGTGCCGTGGTGCCCTAGCAGCTGCCATGAAGAGCAGCACTGAAATTTTCATGTACATGCCAACTGAGATTATGTTCTAGAACTGAATATAGATCAGACTATGAACTTGGTGCTAATCACAATCAGTGACAAACCGATAGTACAAATATATGTACATGAAGCTGCTTGCTCGCTTGTTTGCTTAGTTTCCTCTCTGAACTTGAACAAGGATGTTGTATGTTCAGCAGAAATGTTTAGTAAACTTCTCCCAGACTTCATGGTGACACATTCCAGATGACAGTTTTCTTCATACAAGGTGGTTCAAATATGACCAGGACTGATTTGTGTGTAAACAAGCCACACTGCACAGCAGCTGTGCGACCTGAGAGAGTAAAGCCACAACCTCCACCCTCCCTCCTGTTAGGGTTAGAACCTGTTCAGTCCTCTCTGGGGGTTGCTAGAATGATGAGCTAACAGAAGGTACCACGGAGCGTGGAACAACGCATTGTGTTCAAATTCCTTGTTGGAGAAAACGTCCCGTCCGCTGAAATTCAACACAGACTCCAACAATAGTATGGGGAAGAGTGTCTCTCACGGACGCGTGTGTTTGAGTGGTGTAAGTGCCTCAGAGAGGGCAAAGAGCATGTGGAGAACGAACCGCAGGATCATCAGCTGCGAACGTCCGTCACCAAGCCAAACATTGATCGTGCAGATGCGCTTATTCGTGAGAATAGGCACATCACTATCAAGGAACTTG